TAGTTCAGGTGGGTAGTTGCGTCAGCATGCGTAGGCCGCAAAGGAACAAGTAATAGGTTTATTCCATGTTGAAAAAAAGAAGAAAACACAACGTTTCGCCCGTGGAGCCTCCACGAAGAAGGCTCCACGGCCGAAACGTTGTGTTTTCTTTCTTCTTTTTTTCAGCATGGAATAAACCTATTGTATTTTTGAGTTATGGCTATTTGGCTGGCCCATACGCGGGTAAATCGCTCAGTACAGGCAAAACTGCATTATAGTGAGAGTGAAGTATGGACTTCGAAATATTTATCTGAAATATGAGGACTGGTCAAGTCCTCCTTGAACAACACCTCTGTCGAGCGCGCAATACGGAGTCTGATGAAGTTTTTGTTGTCTGTGCCCCCTCTCTCTCTCCAAGCCGCTAAATCCACGCGCAGCGTAGTTTTGTTTGCCCGGATACCTCGTACTCATGAGAAATCCCGAAATCCGAGATACTTTGTACGTTTTTATTGACTTATTCTATTGTACCTTTCCTCCCTCTCACTCTAAAATAAGAAAGTAGTTCAATCCTGTGTCTGACTTTTCTACCCTGAATCTGAAATAACGGTCCGCGTACACTTTAGTGTTGTCATTGGATGGGTACTTCCGTGTCAACGAATTAACAGCAGTGCTGGAGGGGGGGCGCGCCGGTTCCTCGGTTTCTACCTGTGATCCCGGCCAGGGCCGTGTGCTGTACACTCCCATCTGCCTCACGGAGCGCTAATACCCGCCCTGCCGGGATTAGCGCGGAGACGGCTGGTTTGGGATTACCGTTCAACTACTTTTTAGGACCATTTCCGTGTGTGCTGATCCCGGGACTTAACTCCGTAAGTGTTACAGCCGTGTCAGAGCAAAGAGGCACACCAGGGACGGGCTGCGTACCCAGAATTAAAATAATAAATCCCACTCTTTCCCTTTTTTGTAATGAAGAACAGACACGGGCACAGAAAATGCAGTTCAATAGAAAGAGCAGGGAAACCAGGTTCTCGCTGTTACAGTATCTCACCCTGTCTGCAGCAGAGGTAGCGTCGTGGAGGTGTTTTATCTTATAGAACACGTCTTCACCCTGAGACATTCGCGAAAGCCAGTTAGGCCTATGGGCTTGTCAATCAATGTCTGTGGGTTCCAATCGCGCGTGGGACACTACTGTTGCACTCCGCACTTCCCGGGTCGTAACTAGTTCGGTATCCCCTGGAAATCTGTATCCCCAACGAAACGCCCCACCTGCTCCACAAAACGTCCCAGGATGCTTAATATCATATTGTGCCTTCTGCTAATTGCGATCTGGGTGAAAAGGAGCCCGTTGCCTGTGTGCGTTTATATCGGTTTCAAGCGTTTGCTAGGGATTAAAGTAAAAAAAAAAAACGCCATGAAAGCTGAAAATCTTTTTGTACAAGACAGGGAAGCCCGAAATAAAGCAAGCAAAGGCTCCGTGTATCTTTGTCCTTGTACGTTATATATATCAAGTGTTTTTACATGTGCAGGATGAGAAAAATCAGGCGTCTCTGAGATAACGGCACATGCGCATTTCGGGAGGGGGACATTTCCAGGGGATACTGTAGTGGATACGACACCGGTACACAAACAGAGCTCGGTTATGATAAAAACGAGGCCACTTTTGCCTTCTGTGTGCTGAAGTAAAAATAATACGTTCTTCCAGAATTAAAAGAAACATTTAACACGCGGGAGCACGTTTGACAACACGTTCTGGGTCCAGACCGAGGGGATGGGATATTCTGTGTCTGTCCCTGTTTGTGTGGCCGAAGGGTTACACTGAATGTAACCTGAGGAGGAAGGGGCTCGGATTCAGTATTCTCAGCAAGGGCGCGGAGAGCAGCCGCAGACGGTGGCTGCTGGGATGTCATTAATACTGCCGCTCATCTCCTCGCCCTGAACCGTCCTGACCCCCCAGGTCTCAATGACGCGGGAGGCGCAAG